CACACTCTAGATCCAACCAGCTCTGAAAAAGCCCCACCTATGACCCCATGAGGCTTTGGGGGACACCTAGACATAAGCCATAACAAGAGTTTAGAAGTAATTTATATTCTTTAATTAAAAAAGTATTATTTGCCCATTGTTCTTATAAATGAAATGTAAATAAGGAAGTTCAACTGCAATAAGGAGAAATTAAGAAATACAAAGACAGAGAAATACTAGTCTCATTGGGACAAAACGTTTACTATAAATAATCTAAACTACGTGATGGTAAGGAAGCCGGCTGCCTTGTTTATTCATACACCCAATAGGTATTTACTGAGGTTGGTACTAAGTGCCCAATTCAATAATATTCACAGTGGCTAACATAGGCCTTGGCCATATTAGGTGCTCCATAAAAATTACTGTACAGGCTTCTAGTATTCCTGGAAAAAATAATGTAAAGCTTCATTTCAATGTTATTTTTTAACTAATCAATGGCAGTATCACAAATCATGTTCTTTGCCATCATACAGTTTATATCTACTTGGAATTAATGGACAAATATGCAATAACTGGACAACAATTCATGATAAAAAAATGGGCTACAATGAATAAGGTAGTTATGAAGAGATAATCTTTATCCAACAAAAACTTTCACCATAGACTTTTTTTAAAAACTAACAACCATAATTAACTCTTAACTGAAGATTTATAAAAACACCAATTAAAACTTGAAACTTTTCAATAATATAACTGCCATATATTGTTCCAACTTTTTCTATTGTCAAAAAGAAATTAGCTTACTTTCTTAGAGTTTTATAAGGGACTAAATTTTGTCTGTCACTTTATTTTGACTTGAACTTTTGAGGGTTTAGAGAAAACTTAAGATGCAATATTTTTGATATTTAATTAATTAAATAATTTATTCTTTCAGAAAACATTTATTGAGCGTTCAAATTCTAGTATTTATATTAATCAATTGCTTCTCAGTTCTTCTTTCCACCAGCCATTCATCTGATAAAACCTTACAATTTCTTTTTTTAAATTATTTTTATGGGTACATTGAAGGTATACAGTATAATGACATTCATCATTGGAAATTTGCACCTTTACATAATCCATCTTGGTTATTATTTTTTCCCCATTCCCCTGCCCTCCCTTCAACCCCTCCATCCCTCCCTATTTACAAAGACTTTGGTTCCATTTTTTCATTTTCTCATAATAATTCCATTCCCTTCTTTCTTTTCCCCTCCCCATCCCTCTTCCCCTTCCCATTTGCACCTTTTCTTTCTATGTCATATTATCTATTTTACCTTTTAGTCCTTATTTACACTTTCAGTTTCTCACACTGGAGAAACTATTCAATATTTACATGTGTGTCCTATTTATTTCACTTAAGAGTATTGCCTAAATGTGGATCCATTTAGCTATAAATGTCTCTAGTTTCTCATTCTTTAAATATCTTACAATTTTAATAGTAACACAATAAAGCTCTGAGCTTAACAGTGTTGGCATTCATCTTAATATAACAAAAAAATCCATTGATTAAAACTAGGCTACCTCATTCAAATGGCACGTTATTCCAAGTTGTTATATTTTTAAGAGCACCCCTTAATCAAAATTTAAATGTGATCACTCTGAGAAATAGGATGATAAACAATGTCAAATATTCAAATCTTCATCAAAATTCTATGACAATAATAATTTAAACATTATCTAGTAGAAATAGCATTATACATTTCAGCAAGGATGGAGTATATTTTTAATAGATCCAATCAACTTTCCTGGTTTTTGTCTTACTCTACTAATTAAGGATATAAATAATGTTTTTAAAATGAGATCAGTACACAGTTTATGCTTGGCTGACTTAGAAGGCTTACAGAAATTTTCCTGGCAGTTTAATGGATCACTAAATTACTAGCTTTTATAAATAAAATATACCATGTATTACATGAATCAGGTTAATATTTAAATTATTTATATTCAATAAACCAAATTTTAAAAGTAATAATTTAAAATTCTACCAGTCTTATTTGACTTTTTTGGCAGTATCGGGGATTGAACCAAAGACCTTCACATTGAGCTACATCTCCAGCCCTCTTTTCATTTTTTGTTTTGAGACAGGGTCTAGCTAAGTTCCTATAAGTTTCCCAGGATGAGTTCAAACTTGAAATCATCCTGCCTCAGCCTCCCAAAGTGCTGATTTTGAATCCTGGAAAAAGTAGAAGAATTTATTTGAGAAAACCAGGATGAACTTCAAAGGTATATAAATGATCCCAAATCTAAGTTTTAATATCAAGTATAGATTTGCTTCTGTCACTCATAGGTATCATCTTGTGTCTCGATTCCCCACCTTGGCCTTTTTGGCTTCCTGACTTTCTCTTTTTATCTTTTTCTTTTACTTTTTAATTCTTCTTTCTCTTCTTCCATGAACCCAATGTTATGGAAAGGAATCAGAGATAAAGTTCAGTAGTAAATAAAACAATAAATCAAACAAAAAAATGGCCTTGTGTTACATTTTATATAGTGAATCATGAAAAAAAGTGACTTGTATCATTTGTACATAAAATAATTTCTTGAGTCATGAATGACTGGTCACCTCTTGTAGTCAGTGTAAGAAAGTGGAAGGAGCTAGAAAGTTTTATTTGGCCAGGTTTGGGCTAAGATAGGTCCTAGTGGTTGATACAAGTTTGAGTAGAACTGACAGACAACACTCTTTGGGAATTTCAGAGAGCTAGTATTCATTTCCAAAGACAGGCTCTAAGAACAGACAGAATATAAAGATTTCAGATCCAAAAATGAGTGTGTAGAGACAAACTGAATACAAAGTGGACAGCCAGGTAAAACCAGAAGAGGAGACCCAGAAAAGAAAGAGGAGACTCACAGGGGAACTGTCAGATATCTAAACCAATACATGAGAGGAATACAATTCCTAAAAGCGAATGTAAATTTTTATGTATTACAAACATAAACCAATTAATTTTTTTTAAAAAAAAGAAATCCATGACCAATAAAGGCGCAATGGAGGGTACTGAGCTGGTAAAAACAAGTAGAAAATCAATTCTTCTCTTGTGAAGGGACCCTAAGCCCTCATTTGGTCAAAACTGGAAAGAAATAAATATTGTAGTATACTAAAGTCTTTTGACTATTAAAACAAACAGTACTTTGAGTAATTCAATAACAGATCCCCTTATGATTTCAGAATGATCATTGTAGAACCGTTTCTCAGGCTAAAAGTGTAATTGGTCATGGATCAATAAGTAATTTCTTTTAGTAAGAAAAAGTTCTTGTTTTATTTCTTCCTTCTCTCTTATTTATTTTTGAAGTGGAAATGCTGCAAAATCAGAAATGAGCAAATAGATTGTGAAAGTTGAGATTACTTTAAGTAGCAGGATTCCTTATTGCACTAGTTAAGTTTACCTCAACTGATCATTTATTTATGATGCCATAAAAATCCAGATGCTTTCAATTTTGATTGTTAGATATTTGCTGAAAGGCAGCTCAAATTACTTTCCCAGAGTTCCTATTTTGACAACTACATTTTGAATGGAAAATTTATGATGGTTCAATAATGATGGCGCTGAAGTGTTGTTTTCTGCTTATTTATTTTTTTCAAGATTAGCAATGAATTTAGCCCCTGTGTTCAATGTAAACCCCACTCAGCTTGTTGGAAATTCCAGAAGTGTAATGCAAAAGTAAGGTTAAGAAAATAAATTAATAAAATCTTTGAGAATTAAAGCTTTGTAAATGTCTGCATTAATGTAGTATTTTGGTGTTTGGCAGTTTTCCAATTATTTTAGGATCAGCACCTACAAGCCAATTTCTAGCAAGAAAGAACATGATTGAATCAAGTATCTTTTGTGGCCTGAGTACCGGCACAGGGAGAACTTATAGCAACAGATAAAAACAAAACAAATTACATTTACATGATTACAGATGTAGGCAAAATAACTATACTTAAGTATAAAATACAGTAGAAGATGGAAAGAATGAAATGCTTCTGAAACTTCCAAAAGCTGAAGACTTCAGACAAAGCACAATCATGGTAAGAACTCTTGGGAACTTTTCCCTCTCTGTGGTGGTGGGGATTGAACCCAGGGCACTGAGCATGCTAAGCAAGTGTTTTACCACCGAGCACACCATCAACCCTATAGTTTTTTAAATTTGTGACACTTTTTTGGTTTGTTATTTTGATATATTAGTAAAATGTTAATATCTATGAGTAATTAATGACAGTGTATGCATTCTTCAAAGTAATGCAAGGAAGTGAGAAGATAAAAGACTTATACTCATTAGTAATTCTTTGAGTGCAGAGAGAGAAGGAGGAGTCCCTCAACTATAAAGTCAATTACAGCAACATTAAAAAGAAAAAACTATTTTCATTCATGAGCTACTATTTGTCTTCTACTAGGTGCTGAATAAATTCTTGTGGGAGGTTGGGAGCTTAAGGAAAAAGGAATGGTCCCAAGATGGAAATGGCAAGAATCCATGATATTCTCCTGATACGTATCAAAATGAGCACAAAATGACATCTTTTTGCCATTTTTTCACATCACAAAATAGCCTTAACATTTCCTTCCACTTCATGTAACTTTAGACATTTTTTTTCCCTCTGGCAAGAAAAGAAATAGAACACTGAATCCAGATCTTTAGATATCATCAGTATTACAACCTCCTGCTTCCAGCCAGATGGTATGGTATCTACCAAGCAATAACTTATTTTATTAATTTGGCAAGGCTGTCTAAAGACACTAAAATCCCTCCAAATAGTCTCTGTGAATGCAAAATTGAAAGAAATTCACATTAAAAAAAAGCAAAACAAAACAATAATATTTTTCCTATTGAAAATTACATGTTACCAGTAATAGGTCTATGGTTTCACCATTTCTAGATGATATTCATATTTTCTAGAGCAAAGTATTAGTTTTGAGAGGAAAACATCCAAGAAGCAAAATTATCAATTCTATAGAAAAATCTAGCAGTTTAAAGAAAATAGTGATGATTATTTTAAAAGTACTTACTATATGTAGCTCTAGGTAGTCACCCAGGCCTGATGAACTGTCCACTCGCACCAATACAGCTTCCTTCTGCACAGTGCTAAACCCTATAGCCAGTCTGTCTGCTCGTGTACTTGGTCGGTCATTAGGAGGCCACTTATATGTGATTTGTCCACCACCTTTGCTAAAGATATATGTTGTCCCAGCTGTAAAAAAAAAAACAAACAAAAAACCTAATTAGTCCCAGCACCTCAACACTTTCCCATGATGGTCAGGTGGATATATCCATAAATATCGACTTTACACACAAAACTATGGCAAAGAAAATAATATATTTCAATCAAACATGTTCAAGGAAGAGGACAGTTATTTTAAAAGAAATAGAGAAGCAGCTCCATTTTTAATACACTCATTAAATCTACCAGCAGGTGTTTCAGAACAAACAGCAGATTACGGTTGTTTTTTTTCCATTGAATTGGATGAGCATGGAATATAACGGGGTTTTATTTCTTCCTGCCAGTTTTTAAGAAATGGTTTAGTAGGAAACACTGACTGGAGGCTTCCCAAAAGCAGTAGAAACATATATCAGCTTGTTTTTGAAACAAGAGCTGCACATAAATGTGACAAGGTCATACAGCACAGTGGAGCAAATCGCCAACAGATACACCACAAATCAAACTTTTATGGGGAAAAGGTTTGTGTACATATGACAGATGATAACTAATGGATGAAGAGCCACATGTCCCAGGAGTCATGTCAAGAAAATGCACATAACAGATCCCATCTATAGAAGTTTGGATCTTATTTAACAAGCAACATGTCGTGGCTGTCAAGCTTTTCAGCATCATAACAAGATCTCCAGTCCTCAATGAATAGCAGCCTTACAGCACTGAGAATAATGTCTCATTCTGTGAGTGTTCAAATTTTCTTTTAACTTATGGTAATTTTACTTCATAGCAATGATGTCAGTAAACAATCTTAATTTAAAAAGGGTTCTTTTTTCCCTAACAAATCTACTTGGAATCCAATGCACTGAAATTCTATCTGCTTTCACAGCTAGTATTCCTTTCATTGACTGAAATAAAAATAATTTTGAGTCCTAACATTTAAAAGATACATGCAAAGATTTATATAAAGGAGAAAGGGAAAGAACTTCATCCCCTCTGAAGTGTACTACACAGATTTTTATTTAATTCACCTTAGGGCAGACCTTAGGAAGAATTTATAGGGGGGAAGATAGCCTTCCAACAAGAAAGAATGCCAATATATATTTATTGTTTACCTGATAGTGTTAATTTTGTAAGTCAACATGAATGGATTATGGGGATGCCCAAATAGCTAGTGAAACATTTCTGGGTTTATCTGTGTGAGATGTTTCTGGAAGAGATTAGCATTTGAATTGATGACTGAGTAAAGCAGGTTGCCCAAAAATGTTATTGGCCACCATTTAATCCACTGAGGGCTTGAATAGAACAAAAACTGGAGGAAGATTGGATTGTCCTTTTTTCTCTGCTTAAGTTGGAACATCATTTTTCAGAGACCCTAGTTCTCAAGTCTTCAGACACATTCTAAAATCTATCTATATGATTAGCTCTAATGCAACTACTGTGTGCCAAAATTAGGCCAGCAAACATCCCATTCTTATGGGGAAAAGCGTCTACCAAAAGGAATTCTTATGTGTAAAAGTGTGTGTACAGAATTATTTTTTATAATACCTATACACTAAGTTGCTATGATTGCATGTTTGCCAATTCAATGAAGTTGGCTTACTGACCCATTTATTGGTAGGTAATTAAATAGCTGATTAACTTTGTGGGGGTTTTTTTGGGGGGCAACCAATCTTTGTTTTCCATCAGACATTTTCATAGGCTCTTGAAAATCTCCAAAGACCTCTGGAATATACAAATTTACCCAATAGTTAAAAAGTCTTTTGTATGTAATGCTGCACCAAAATCATGCCTTGATTAGGAGATGACTGAATATAAAAGTGATAAACCAGAACGCTGTCAACATTAAATGATACAGAGGCTATGCATTTTTCTGTTAATTTTTCAAAATAATTTTGGATATAAATGCTTGAAAGTAGTTTACCTCTCTCATGCGACAGAATTTAAGTTGTATTTCAAAGGCCCCCGCAGTAAGTAAGCAAATTAAATGGAGAACATACAGACTGTGTATTAGAAATGCCAGGGCATTTCAGACATTGCTACATCATCAAAAGCATAGTCACCATTATATTATTAAGCAAGTACTCTTTGGTAAATATTTTTCTGCTTAGGAATTTTTGCAGATGATTAAGTAGTAAGTTTTTCAGAAAAGCAAATGTTAGTAGAAATAAAACATAAAGAAGGTGAAATTTCTTTAAAAGGAGGATGTACTGAGTACCTTTAAGTGCTAATACTTAACGATTCACTTTTGTTTTTCATATGAAACAAAATAAAACTATGTATATTACCTAACAACATAACGTATAATGCACAGTTAAAAATTCAGATGTCTTCTATCAGAGTTACCCTAGTGAACTAGCATTGTAAGTCAACATTAGTTTATATTACATAGTTATTTTTAATTTTATGTATCACTTTCATGATTCTTTTTTCATTTCTTCTCTACTTTTATATAGAAAGTAGGATAGGCATTACTTCCATTTTATATCTGAGGAAATTTAAATCTTAAGGATTGAGTTATTACCTAAAGTTACATACTTGGTTAAGTAGTTAAACTGGTACAAACCTAGATTCTGTTTCAGTATATATATATAATTACAGAAGTATTTCTTTAATAGTAAGGCAGTGAGGAAAAAAGTTAATTGGTATGTCAGTTTGAATTTATCAAGGCTAACTTGTCATAATCTAATGTCTCATATCTATAAAGTGATATTTGTACCTCATGATCATATACTCCTCTTTCACCTTACAATGCTTTAAAATAAGATGTAAAAGTGAAACAACAGAACATTTAATATATGTAGAGTAATGTTTAGTGAGGGTGCATGTCTCAAACTTCTGGAACTATAAAATATATTAGTTTCTCAGTTATGGAACTTGAGATAATAATTTAAAACTTTAAATTTTCAGTAACATAAGAGTCATAATTAAAGATCATTACTCAAAGTTTGATTACTACATCTATTTCAGCCTTTTTCAGTAAATGCTAAGGCTTTGTAACTAGTATGATTAGCTAATCTTTTCTGTTCACAATGCTTTATGGCTCTTTATGTTTCACTAAAACAAAGCAAAACAACATTACTCTTTGCAAAATTCTTCCATCATTCCTTGTTTCCTCTTTCTCCGGAGGTATTCAGAGAGAATGATCTCTTCTCTGCACAGAATGCACCGCCTTGTCCCTATCAGCATGATTCTATAATAAAGAAGTAGACACCCAGTTTCCCACAGTGCTCTTCTTCCTCCCCCAGCAGGCATCCTGGTTTCATTTTTAAATGTCTACTTTGCATCAAACTTGACAAGGTAGCCTATATTTTTTCAGTATATGTGCTGCCGAAGCAAGCATATGTAGCCTATATTTTTAATCCCTCTCTCTAAGTAGAAAATTATTCTTATAATCAAATACATGAAGTCATTTGGCTGAAGTTTCAAAATCTACCTCATTTTACATGCATCCTCCTGAGTCAAGGACATGATATACTTTCTGAAGCCGAGGGATTACAGAAATTAAGAATGTAAACTGGAGATTCAGATAGACGTGGGTTCAAATTCTAACTGCATCATTTAATAGCCACATGATCTTAACCAAGTGATTTAGTCTGTCTTGGGTATTTGATTTTTTTAAAAATGTAGATAGCGATACTATCCTTCAGAACTTCTGTCAGGATTGAACAAGATACTGCATAGTAACATATTAGTCCACTTACTGTCATATGGTATGTGCTTAATTAATCTTAGAATAGTTGTCTTGTGTGTGTTTATGTATAAAAAATACAAAATAGTATTGCAATATTATTTTATTCTTATAAAGGAGCCTTTAGAAAAGTTGAATCTATTTCATAGTTATGCTCAAAGCAAATACCTTTTAAGGAATGATGTTCCTACATCACAGTTTTTATCAACCTTCTCAGTATTTCATTCTTTGTATTAGAATTTTTGTTCACACAACTCTGTTATATTATCATTTATATTATCATTATATTATCTGCTATATTATCATTTCACTAACTGTTGACAATGGAAGTGATATTAAATTACATAGGAGACTTCATGAAAAAAATAACATCAATTCACTGCCATAAAACATCTAGCATGATAAGATTTATGACACAAAGCAAAAAAAGTCACTTGACCATTTAATAAAGGAATAAGTCTACATAAAATGAATTGCAAACTGGCATTCTTTTTAAATTTTTGTTTTTACAGAAACATATTTGATTTTATGATATAATTGAATTAAATGAGCGGGGGCAGTATGTCTTAATCATGGTTCCAAGCTTTTTATCAATATGAAGAGGAATGTGTTGCCTTTATTATTAATGCCTGCTTCTATATGGCAATCACTAACAAATCAGTTAGTGCTACTAATGGATTTACTGCAAATTAACCTTGACATCTATCACATCACTGGATGTAAGGATGACTCAAACATGGAGCTGTTTTCAGCAATCCCTACATTTAAACTGTGCAGCAACTCCACTGTCAATTCATTAACAAAGTTGGATACATCAGATGTAAATTTAGCAATGTCAACATACTTTACACTATAATTAATATAAAAAAGTACACATGGAGTGCAGTTTCTAATGTTGGAACTACATATGATTTTGCAAAAAGAAATATTTTTAGATATTGAACATAATATTTAAATAAAGGGCTCTTTTCCTTCTTATGTTTTCTTCTATTCCCTTCCTAGACATGACTAGTTCACCCTCATTTTGCTTCTGAAAGGGCTAATGTATTGGCCCCCAAATGGACTGAACTTTTCTGAAAAAGGTAACCAATCAGCATGTACAGGTGTATCCCATTATTGGTTACTCTGGATCCTTGCTACAGAAGTAATAATATAATTAACTTCTAAAAAGATTAGCTTTTAACCCATGACATAAGTATTTGAATAAAAGATTCTTTCTTGTAGGCTATAATTCTTCAACTGTCATCTTGTAGCCAACAAGAGACATTCGGTCCATTAGGTGTCTATTCAATGTAATAGGGATATAACAATTTTTCCACTCAAAGTTTGCAAGTCAGTCAGATGAAAA